GTGTGTGTGTGTGTGTGTGTGTGTGTGTGTGTGTGTGTGTATGTGTGTGTGTGTGTACACGTGTGTAAGTCAAAAAATAGGAGAAACGAGATACTATTAAATGTTGCATATAGATGTTCAAAGTACTTACTAAAGGTATGGGACCGCCAAAAGCAAGCGTTAAGGATCCCCCTGACTCATAGACCGCATCAGCCAGCTCTACCACATTCTCCTCGCCGGGAGTCAGATCTATTTCAAACTCTCTAATCTGCACTTCGTTTCCTACATTCAATCCAGCCAGCACACCTTCTAGCAGTTGTTTGACCATCTCAGCACTTGTTTCGGAGGCACCATCAACACCGGCTTCATTATTGTCCAAGTCCAGAACAATCTTCTCAACACGCACTTGTTCACCGTATTTGGTTACTACTAAGAGATCATTCTCCTCACTCTGCGACCTAATGTCTTCAATTAAATCAGCATAATCCGCGTTGCCTCCTTCGGACGCCTCATACTCACTGGCTTTGTCACTGTGCGCACTTAGCAATAAATCTCTGAGAATGTCCTCTGTGGCTTTGATCGATGGGTCCTCTACTATGTCAGTGCTATCACCCTCCATACCAACATCGCCCTCATCCTTGTCCCTACTTTGACTTTCCAAAGTTTTCAAACTCTCCTTTCCGTTACTTTCATCTGTCTGATCGTTGAGTACGTTGTGTTGTAGTTGCTGGCCGTCTTGGGCGACAGCCAGCACTGATAGATATACTGCAGCTAACAATAATACATATATGCAGTGAATATGTAACATGCAGGTCCTCATGGTGAACACGCACACAAAGGATGGATCATCCGAGGAACTGGTACAATACTAGCCGCCTACGTCTATTTACCAACAGCAATTCATGAATCAAACTAGATCAAAAAGCTGATAGTATCGAACTTTATGATGCCTCAATGATAAAACGATGACATCACTAGTCTGATGAATCTGTGACCTATGTATGAGTACCACTTGTTTTTTAAGAAAAAAACAATGTCATATGCTTACACCTATTTTATTTATATGCTTGTTGCTTTGTATAAATACAGATATGTTCTAAATGCATAGCTTGCACAATCAAGGTCATCACCAATTGTACCTTTTACTCGCTCAACTTGCAGTTGAAGTGTCTCAGAGAAGGACATAACTTATCTACACATACCTAGTAGCGCACTAAATATTCAAGGAGACCATCAAAATGTCTTTCAGATCGAATACCCGATCAAATTTGGAAGTGTTCAAGGTGGGATGTGTTCTTATTGTTCACTGTAATGTTCATTGTATTGTGCGGTGTGTCCTTCGTAATTTGTTAGGGTCTTAGTTTCCTTGTAGCATCATTCAATCGCAAACCTTAGTGGGATATTTGGTTAATAAATTGGCCTATTACAATTGCTCACAAATATACTAGCCTTGGATATCAACCCTTTTTTTTCATACAATATGAGCATACATATTATTGTGCAAAGACCAAATGTACTATTTTGATTGTACATTTAAAATCTGTACTCAAGACACATCGCCCTAACATGCATACACATAATTGTGTGCATGTATACAATAAACTGTTATATACGCTCTAGACTAGTCAACAATGCTAAAATGCAAAGTCTTCTTTCACATCGTTAGATATGCATTCACATATGTATTGTGTAGATATATATATATATATATATATATATGTGTGTGTGTGTGTGTGTGTGTGTGTGTATGTGTGTATGTA